GACAAGTGGGGGTGGGTAATGAGGGGCATCTGTACTAACCTCAACAATAAAAATAAATTAATAAATTTAAAAAATGAAGTTAATGTACAGAAACCCATGCAAGTGAACCTCAGTATTTATTTTCCGAAATGCATCAGCCCTGCGCTCCCCACGCTTCCACAAGTCGGGTCATCTGTATGGAAGAATTCATAAAAGTACCCTCCCTCCTCTGATTATGACACTGGTACAATACACGGGCTAAGCTGGAAAACGGCCGTACTAGCCATTACAGGACACAGGTCACCATGGTCAGTCACCCTGGCAGTTTCTTACTGAAAGCGCCAGAAAGGCAGGAAAATAGCGCTCTGCTCCCACAGCACTGCACAGGCCCGGACACCGAAAGGTCAGAAGTGCAGGGAGGGCCTTGTACGTTCACACTAACTATTCAGAAAATCCACGGAAAACCTGGTGAAGGCCCAACCCCAAGCAGCCGCCTCGCCACGGCCCCATCATCCCACAACCCCCTCATCAGTAGGTAAGTAAATATCTAAAGAAACAGTGAATGAACCCATCATCAATAAACAACTATTTTCTGGGTTTCCAGAAAGTAAATTATGTGGCCGCCTGCCACGCGTGACTCAAACAAATAAAAAAAAAGGCAGGTTCAGGCCACGGGTGGCCAACGTCAGGACGCCCCAGAGGGCAGCCCCAGGTGTCCCAGTGAGTGGGCATCCCCCACGGTGTGGTCTCCCCCATTCTCGGCTGGTGGCCAACCAGGGTGGTAACCAATTCAAACGGTTTGTTTCTCTGTGGCCTGTAGGATGCAGAAGGTGGTCCCCACCTCCTGGGAGGACCTGGGCTTCATTCCACCAGCCGGAGGGGAGTGGGGAGCCAGGCGCTGAGGGCGATGGGAAATTCCCAGAAAACGACCAAGGAAAGAGAGACCTCGCTGGAAAAGCAATCGCAGCGAACCTCCAGGGACTTCAGCCTGCCGTCTGGCAGCTTTTCACAAGTGGAGAGAATGCTGGTGACCGGGTACCAAGGCGAAGGTCAGGAGACAGAGGCCCAGCCGGTCACCTCTCCCTCCCCCACAGCACCTGCTTGGTGGGTTGGGGAGAAGATCCCCCAAAGAGAGTCAACACGCGTGATGCTGGGCTTCACTCCACGCCCTGGGGTCCTGAAGGACTTTTACAGGAGCCCCTCTTCTTAAAAGGCACAGACCCTGGGGAGGGCCTCCCGCTGGTCATCAAGGGGAACCAGGGGAACCAGGGCTCTGGCATCAACTACAGCCCCAAGCATGGGTCAGACCTCAGGGGTCAAGGCCCAGGCCCCAAGGAAGCGAAGGGTCAGGGCAGCTCCCAGCCCAGCCTGCGCTGGGAGCCTGACCCTCGTGGGCTCGGGGCTGGGACCTGGGCCGCGGGCCCCTGATGGGAACCTGGTTCTGGGACCTGGGCCCCTGATGGGAACCTGGGGCTGGGCTCGGCCTCCGTCCCGGGCGGCCCTTACTCACCCGGTCTCCCGCTCCTCCTCCGTGAGAGGGGGTAAGTGGATATTTTGTGCCCTCGCCCAATTTGGCCAAAACCCTAAAAGTAAAAATGACAAGAGACAGACACGTGTTTTAAAACCCTGGGGCTCGAGCCACGGGAACGCCCACCACCTGCCCAGCGCTTCCAGATGGGGGCGCCCTCCCGGCCCGGACTCGGGCCGCAGTT